ATATAAATAAAATTAGAGTTTTGTCTGTACATTGCTCAGAATTATATATTTTTAGGTTATTTTTACGTCTTATACATTAAATAAGCAGAAACGAGTCTTATCTCAATTTCTGTCTGTCTGTCTGTCTGTCTGTCTTTCCCTTTGTCTGTAACACTCAAGATGGCATTTTACGCAATCTTCTCCTGGAAAACGAGAGTACCTATCAAGATCCAAGTCATTTTAATGTATTCACTGGATTGGTGAGATTGTCTTTAGCCATTAAAATATGGCCTCACTACTTTGTAAATAATATTACGAACGTTCAAAAATGCAGTTTTGTGCGATTTATGTCAAGTTTTCGTCCAATTTTTATTGCATAATCATCTATGAAATAACGAACAGCTGTTCGGATCAAGATTATTTTTCCTAGCTGTCACTGATATGTTTACAAATGTTGTTTACAAATACCGCAACCTTTTTCAATCACGTTTTGAATGCAAATCCCAACCAAGTGAGATTAAAAACGTTTTTCTTACATAACGGATTTAATTAATCGAAAGTGCAATAATATAGTGTAATAGTGTAACCGTAAATGAAATTAAATAACTATGCATCATCCAGTTCAGGAACCAGAGATTCTTTGTGTATAAATTGTTCTTGAGTTTTGATAACCAGAAAAGAAGACCTTGAATCAGTGTTGTATACGGCTGGGAAACTTCAATTTAATAATGATCGTCGCCAATAGCTTAGAAACATGGTTTCCACTCATTGACGGCGCTTCAATGGCGGTTGTGTAAAGTGTAAAGTAAAAAATCACAACCGCAGTGGGTGATTGTAACAGAGGTTTACGGATGATGCTAAGCTCGCTTTTCTAATGTGTTATTTTCTGTTCCTACCATTGACTATATATATATAGTCAATAGTACCTACTCACCGTGTGATGCAATCGCTGGACCATACAGCCAATAGGCCCATATCCCATCTCTTGGGTACGTACGCCTACCCAATTATTCATAACAACCTTTTCCACGACGATCCTTGATACCGGTACTTTTCCCTAGAATACACGGCCTACCTACTTAAGAAATAAAATTGCAAACGTCCAAAAACCCAACGTTGTGTGATTTTTGTCACATTTCCTTCTAATGTTAATAGATAGCCTTTACCAATCATTGTTTAGAGGATACGTAATCTATTAAATAACAAAAAGTTGTTTGTATGAGGTTGTTTTTTTTTTCAAACTGACACCGATAAATTACATTAAAAGTTGTTTACAAATAAAGCAATTAATGGGAAATAACTTTGATTGCCGTTTTAAAACGTTTTACGAGACAATCCAAAACCAAGAGATCAATAACCTCGGGACTTGATTAAGTCATATAATTGGTCGGCTGTACTATAGTTCTCAACTGTGAACGTTGGTTTTTGGTACCGGTTCTATTCCTTAGAACCGTTGGTACTGTTGGTAGCAGCAAGAATCATTTTTAAGTTCCAACACATCACTGTACTTTACAAATTAGTTATCGTTGGTGTTGCACCTTATTTATTATTACAGGCGTATTCAATTTAATTGATGTCTTAACTGTACAATTTTTGCTTTTTCTTTCTTGATTCCAAACTGTTAGTTTATGTTAAGAAAACGATAAAACTTAACGCATTTTAGTAAATCATTCATTCAGCAAACCATCATGAATTGTTTAAACGCTTTACGTTGTTTATGTATCAATAGTTCGTGGCCTATTTTGATAATTTGTATTATAAATTACCAATCTAAATCGTCTATAGTACTTCATTTCATATAGTAAGCCGTCATTTCGGGTCATCGTCGGTCCAAGCAAATATAAATTGTTATGATGAAATTTGATGACATTAACAAAGATTTCAGATACTAATTTTATAAGTACTTTGTTATGCTTAAAACGTAGCAAATTCCCTAATTAAGATCTGTATTTTTGTGTGTATGTCTGTTGGTAACGCATTAATGTCCTTATTTCTCAGTGTTTCACGGAAAGGACAAAAGCACCTTTATAATAAAAATGTCAACCCGAATAAAGTGTTAAATTGTGAGGTTGAGGTAGTACCTTAAATACTTTTAATCATTGTGGAAGGTAACTTTCAATTATAGGCCTACATTAGGGCTATGCCTCATAGATCTATAAAGCATTTTTTAGTTTAATCATTGGATTTAACATACGGACCAACACGACCCAGGCTAAATTTAATTTCAAAGCATTTGTTTTGGCTTGAAACTGTCAGATACTGTATTTGCGAAGGTTTATTTATAATAGTTTTGCTAGCATATCTGAAAATATGCAAACCCAACTTCTGTTCTTAATAATAAGGTTTCAACTGACTACAATAAGATCCCCGTGCGTAGAACGGGCACATAGCTAGTCATTAGTAAAGTCACATTTTATTTTGTAATACGAAAATTAAACACACTACACGTAAGTATAAGGAACATATGCATATCTCATTCCCCTGAAGGCGTCGCCCTCCTGAACTCCATTCAATTCTTCTCTGTCATTGGTCAACAGATCCTCCTTTAGGGTTCCCTTGTGGAACGCTCATGATGACCTCTCTTAAATCAACCGTTGCTTAGCGCATTAATAGCATTCGTTGTGACCACACAATTATTGAACGCAATCCTAGCTCATTAACTTTTCAAGGATATGATTAAGGTGCATACAGTATATAACATTTTGCATCCGATTTGAATAGGTCTGTACGTAACGATCATGTACTCCGAATAAAATATGCCATAAAATAAGATAGGGAACAGGTTACGCACCGTTGATACAACCGTAAAATCGAAGCATCACCTTCAGTCATGTCATTACAGGCTGTGGGGGATCAGAAGATCTCACTTGAGTCTTGATTTTACGTGGATTTGTAAAAGTAAAAACCTTGAACATTCCTCGCTACCATCAGTTGTCTTAATACGTTTTTAGTACTATAGGTACTGTAAGAATACAGATTATAACTTGAATATACAATGGTAAAATAATTACATCATATCATAAGGTTGAAGATTTGAATAAAAATACCTATCAAATAATCATTTTATGTCCATAATTAAATTTGATAAATATAAATGCTTAAATAACTTGCGAGAACATTAGTTCCTTCATAGTGCTTAGATCGTTTTAACATAACAGCTTCATGATAACGTAATTAATACTTAAGCGGAAAGACTTATTGTCAATTAAGAAAGTGTTTACTTTATTATGCTTAAAGAAAGAAAACGGCCAATTATAACGAGATTAATTTATTCCTTGGTAATAATAAAAGTAAAAGACTTTCAGCTAAATACTATAGTATTTTGGCAATTATACAACAGCGATGTATTAATTTAAAGTCCCAAGCAATATTCTATTTTAATTGCTACTGTGAACTAAAATGTTATTTATTACTGATATATTTATCTTATATGAGTACATATCATGAGAGATAGTGTTATACGATAATTAACTAATCACAATCTATAAAAAATAAGTTTTCACACACTTGTACTTTAAATGACCACTGCATATTGTTTTTACATGGAATTATTTACAGTAATCTTTATTCTTTCAAACAATTCAGCCATACCAATCAATCAATTAATTAACAATCATTGAGATGGGGACGCCGCCAAGGTGCGTACCCAAATATGTGTGAAGGATGAGTGTAGAATGGTGTGTGATGACCTGTGTAGCTTTGTTACTAAGATCAGCGGTTTCATTGGCCAGGATCATTTATTTAAAGCCCAATGATCAGGAAAAACTGGGTCCAGTTTCGAACCATCAAAAAGCTACTGACTTTTCTCAGGATCGAACCGGCGACCTTTTCATTACTAGGCGAGCACTATAACCACTCAGCTACCCTAATTGGTGTTGTGACGAACTTTCGGAACGGAGCGGATTTGCAGCTTGCACACTTGTCCTTGATAGCAAAGTCGTAGCTGGGTTTTTGATTCCAGGGGTCGATGTTTAAAAGGGGTTGGAATTGGCTCAGAATATTGGCAATGAATCACAAGATTCCCAAATGGCCCTGACTCATCACAGCCAAAGGATAAACTTGGATTGCTGGGATTTCTCTAGCACGTGGGACGGGTTGCTCGGATTGCTCTAGCACTCAGGAACGGATTGCTTTGATTGCTCTAGCAATAAGGACGGATTGCTTGGATTTCTCTAGCAATAGGAACGGATTGCTCGGATTGCTCTAGCAATGGGGACGGATTGCTTGGATTTCTCTAGCAATAGGAATGGATTGCTCAGATTTCTCTAGCAATAGGAACGGATTGCTTGGATTGCTCTAGCAATAAGGACAGATTGCTCGGATTGCTCTAGCAATAAGGACGGATTGCTCGGATTTCTCTAGCAATAGGGACGGATTGCTCGGATTGCTCTAGCAATAAGGACGGATTGCTCGGATTGCTCCAGCAATAAGGACGGATTGCTTGGATTGCTCTAGCAATGGGGACGGATTGCTCGGATTGCTCTAGCAATAAGGACGGATTGCTCGGATTGCTCTAGCAATGGGGGCGGATTGCTCTAGCAATAAGGACGGATTGCTCGGATTGCTCTAGCAATAGGGACGGATTGCTCGGATTGCTCTAGCAATAGGGACGGATTGCTCGGATTGCTCTAGCAATAGGGACGGAATGCTCGGATTGCTCTAGCAATAAGGACGGATTGCTCGGATTGCTCTAGCAATAAGGACGGATTGCTCGGATTGCTCTAGCAATAAGGACGGATTGCTCGGATTGCTCTAGCAATAAGGACGGATTGCTCGGATCGCTCTAGCAATAAGGACGGATTGCTCGGATTGCTCTAGCAATAGGGACGGATTTTAGGAGAGTGCACCTCCCATGAAGTGTCCTGGGCCACTGCCCGGGAGCGAAAGAGACTGAGGTCCCCAGCTGCCACGGTTTTATGCGAAAATCTGGTCCACCTGGAGGGGGAAAGTCGCGCATGCGCAGAAGTGCGTTTTTGCTCAGTTGCAACCCAGCTGTCATGGAGAGCTGAACGGTTCCTAAGTTAACATAGAAACAAATGGGGATTGAAATTGAGGTTATGTTCGGCGGATAGGATCAGGAACTGGCATAATGGTATTGGTATCGATGGTTTCGGGCGGCGGAAGGAGATGTGGAGCGGCGGAAGTGCTCTTGGGCGGCGGAAAGGAGTCGTAAGGTAAGGAGATGGGTGGAAGTCGTGGCGGAAGGATAGGTAGGGCCACGGAATGCGATGTGGGGCGGCGGAAAGGAGACGTAAGGTAAGGATATGGGCGGAAGTCGTGGCGGAAGGATCGGTAGGGCAGCGGAAGGCGATGTAGGGCGGCGGACGTTGACTAGGGGCGGCGGAAAGGAGACGTGGGGTAGGGAGATTGTCGGAGATCGTGGCGGAAGGATCGGTAGGGCAGCAGAAGGCGATGTAGGGCGGCGGAAAGGAGACGTGAGGTAGGGAGATGGGTGGAGATCGTGGCGGAAGGATCGGTAGGGCAGCGGAAGGCGATGTAGGGTGGCGGACGTTGACTAGGGGCGGTGGAAAGGAGACGTGAGGTAGGGAGATGGGCGGAGATCGTGGCGGAAGGATCGGTAGGGCAGCGGAAGGCGATGTAGGGCGGCGGAGGTTGACTAGGGGCGGCGGAAAGGAGACGTGAGGTAGGGAGATGGGCGGAGATCGTGGCGGAAGGATCGGTAGGGCAGCGGAAGGCGATGTAGGGCGGCGGAAGTTGATTGGAGCGGCGGAAAGGAGACGTAAGGTAAGGAGATGGGCGGAGGTCATGGCGGAAGGATAGGTAGGGCAGCGGAAGGCGATGTAGGGCGGCGGAGGTTGACTAGGGGCGGCGGAAAGGAGACGTGAGGTAGGGAAATGGGCGGAGGCCGTGGCGAAAGGATGTATGGGGCGGCGGAAGGTGGTGTGGTGCGGCGGAAGTTGACTGGGGACGGCGGAAAGGAGTCGTAAGGTTTAAGGAGGCAGGAAAAAAGTATCTTGAAAAAATTGGCTCGTTACAGTGTACGGTTGTTATGATTTGATACTTTATATCAAAACCTTATATAACTGCTATAGTAAGCCGCGTTTTGAAAAAATGTGCAAAGTACGTAAAAAAATATATATTTTAAGTAGGTATAGAACATTTGAAAACAAACTGTTAGAAGTGTAATTTTGAAACAAATGAATTCATATTACCGTTTTCCCAAAGTATTATTGAGCAAACCTCATGAAGGAATATTAATTTATTATTCAGCTGAAACATTCCCATAAATGTATAAAAGTACGTATTATATTGTAATTCGTTTATATGTTGAAGGCATTCGTTTAACAAACATTTAATATTTGGTTGGAGGTTCCTAAATTATGCTAAGCATAATAAAACAATGTTTTAGTATTTTTATTGTGGTTTCCAATAAAAATAAGTTAGCATCCAGTTCACATAAAATATTTATTGCTTGTGTTAAACTGAAAGAATTTATATATTTCTTTATTTATTTAAAAATTGCTATGGGAAGGATGTTACATAATTTTATTTTGTCTTATGATCTAAAAAGGTGTTTTAACACCTTTAAGTCTTATGGTTAATACTGTAACTGCTCTTATAATTTTTAATGTAAAATATGAAGCAGTTTTAAACATATTCTATAGTAAATTACAATGTATGGACTAATCGAAACTCTATACACTTAAAGCTGTAACATTATAAAAGGAAATAATCATAATATAGTTGTAGCTAAATATTTGATTTGGAAATTGTAAACAAACGTGTAATGATTTTGTATAATATGTAAATTAAAGCCAAAACTACAAAAAACATTAAGTCTACATAAATTCGTCATAAAACTATTCATTTTGATGAAAAGACAGCTATCACAAACTACCTAGGTTTTTCCATTCTAGCTTTAAAGTTCACAACTTAATTATAGGTCTAAAATACAGTATTTCAAATTATTTTTGCACACTGAAACTACATCATTTTTACAACCTGAGAATAAAAACTGAAACCATTGTTGTAATTGATACAACAACATCATTCTTTGACAATCTCCGATATGTATAATTTTGTATTGTATTTTTGGCCAGTGGTTAAAAAAGGGAAGTAAAAAAGATCGGAAAAGGGAATAAAAAAGCGGGGAACTGAAACATGGCCAGTAATCATCAAACATGTCCAGAAGCTAGACATTTACATGAACATGCGTCAAACATAATCTGTTCTAAATGTACGTTCCATGTAGTTACCGCGAGAATGTGAGATATTTTAGAATTACTTGCTCTCCTTGTTGTAGACTCAATGCAAGATGCTTTGTGGAAAATAAGGACAAAGTTATTAAAGTTTATTTCTATTATGTTACCTTAATTTGGTAATTTCTCTCTATGATACATTAGGAGCTTCGTAATTATCTGTCATAAAATAGATTTCTGTAAAACATAGTCGTATTGTTTCATTTGTTTGCATTTTTTACGTTGACAACTGTTGTAATGAAAATAAAGTTTGAAAATTACCTATATCAGTGCTGCTGAAAGTTAATGTTTTTTTTTTTTTTTTTTTTTAGAACAGTGCTTTACATGAAATCATTGACTATTTGATGAAATGTTCATCATCAAGCCACATTTTATCTTATATCTTCTTGTCCATATCGTTGATGGTTATTGTGATGACGCTCCAAAATCTCAGGGCTAAGTAAGGGATTTTCTAACAACTGAGTATTCTGCTTTTTAAAAATAACTTAAGATTTAAAACTGTGGTTTCTTAACCAAAATAACACACTCGAACCAAACTCAAGATAGCGTATGATTACTGTATGATATGTTTAACCATTTGTTTCCCAAATGTAAAAAAGGAAATGTATTGCTTTCGACTTTCGTTTTAACTAGCTAACATATGTTTTAACATATGGTGGACAATATTGTTTGTCTAAATACATTAAATTAATTAGCTTTGTCTAGAAGAAGACATAGAACAAATCTAAATTAGGAATTAGCTTAATCAAAACCAGCATTAAGACTACGAATCAAGCTTAAAGAAAGAATGTTGCAATCTCAGATGAATAAGATGGAGCGTCTCTTGGTACTTTCAACTATTAATAATTACTGAAGAATAATCTTTAATGTAACAAATATAAGTTAACCAGAGGAATTATGAAATATAATATTCGAATACATGGTACAAATGAAATAAAGCGTACATGGTCCATAAAAAGTATAACTTATATGTATTTTAATTTTAAGGTTTATTTTTGCGATTGTAGTTTTTGTAGTTTGTACAATTGTATTGTAGCTGCACAACACTAAGGGCTTCATATTTAATGTTCAAAATACAAAGCTCCTCTTAGGAAAATAAAAAGCACATTGGGGATTCTATGTTTTTTATGGACATATCCGATTCTCCTCACTTTAAACTATTTTTTTCTATCTGTAGATCATTACAAAATTTTCGAGTGTAGGAGTTTTGCCAACGGGTATCAGGTAGAGAGGGTCCCCATCCGTGAATTCCTCATACTGCGGAGTTTTGCCAACGGTTGTGGGTTGCGCGAGAGGGGGAGGGGGAGAGAGAGAGATTACACGTCACCGTGAGGGTGGCTTCCGCTAGGGGTGGTTAAACCAGGCAGGATGCTGACTGTGTTCAAAGTAATGCAGTTATGCACCTCTGACTGTGAAAGGAAATGTATTGAATTTTTAACCTAACCTAACCTAACCTAACCTAACCTAACCTAACCTAACCTAACCTAACCTAACCTAACCTAACCTAACCTAACCCACTGCGACAAGCGCATAACTGCCAAGCGTAGACAACCCTGACAATCGCTCTCCCTCCCTCCCTCACACCCTTTCTCCCACCACCACCGTTGGCAAATCTCCGCACCAAGAGGTGGCCGAAGGCATCCCCCCATCTACCTGACACCCGTTGGCAAAACTCCGGTACCCAAAATTTTCGCCCGCTTAGAATCATCGAGAGAAAGTGCCGTAATCTGACCACTAGATAATCTTCTTCTTAAAACTAGATCTTACACCGCACATAGTATTAAATGTTATCCAATGGCGTATATAAAACACTTCCATTTCAAGTATCTGCTTATAAATTGTTCAAAAAACAAAAAAAATAACTCTGATAGTAAAATCCATTACAGATTCCTAACAGGGTTGATTGTTTGCAATTGCAAATCGGTGGAAATTGCTTTATTTCCCGTAAAATCGTTTGTTCTACGGTAAATTGAAGCTTTTCGATTACCGGATTGCATTTACGCACCATTGCATTGCAATTAAATGCATGTTTTTTAAAGAATTAAAAATATTCGAGATCCCTGGTAGATGTGGAAAATGGATGGAAAATGGATGGCTGATTTCTTCATCCGTTTCTACTATCCATTGATGTTTGTTTTTATGAGTCACAAGTTGGTTTTAGCTATTGATTTTCATTTTGTTTTATTTTCTGGCAAGAATGTTTCTCTGTCCTGTTATTAACTAATTACTTATGCAAATTTAGTATACGTTTTGCTGTAAGGTTATTGTGGTGACAATAATAATAACATTTACCCAAATAACCCATATCTATGTTTTGTTACGTATATTGAATAATAATGTTTCTTAAGGCATATTACTGTATATTTAGCTTTATATGCTTCATAATCTAGGCCTACTCAATATATTCTTGTCCCTGCTATCTGAAGAGGAAAATCACATCAATGTAGAACAAACAATGCTAATTAATGTTACAATGCTATCTTTATTATGCAATCGTTCATTTAACTGCCACAATGGAATAGCACGGTTTTTGTTGGCATATTTTAATAAATCTTTGAGCGATTGCCAAATAAAACTCATTTATACAACTAGTATGAAAACTAGTATGTAACGAAATGAAGGTAAATTAAATATATATTAAGTTAATCTATAAACAAAGGAGGTTTTAAACCATAGGACGTGTGGTGTAATTACCAAGACAAATAACGCTCTAGAGACTTGTTTAGGTTAATCCTAAGTTATGTATTATTAAGTTAGCTTCCAGCTTACCTATGTGATAAATTAACCTTTGCGGGGATTTAATTTTACGAAACTACGATAATCCTTTTACTGTGATTAAATTTTACGTGAAAAGTTTTTTGCATCAAACAAGTAATTGCAATTTTGTTGAAATCCCTAAGTTTTATGTAACATGACTCCCCTACCTCTGTACATAATATAAATTAAAAGCAAATATTAACGATTGTTAAGTACTTTCCTAATTAGAAACACAATCCATTATTATCTTTTTTTATATAATAAATAGAAAAGTACCTGAAGCTATAACATTTATCTATAGTGATCATACTTAACGTCGCCTGAAGCTGTATCTAGGTTAAATTCAAGACAATATGAACAAACTAAAAATTAAGAATTTCCAACACCTTTCATGACTGTTTTTGTTATACCACATAATAATGCTATGATATAATTTTCTCCTTATCTGTTCTGAGTATTTACAAATTATTCAGTGTCGTACAATGAGTCAAACAGTGACGTTTGAGAAGAGTTGAACTTCAGGAATTAATAATGCTTAACTTACTTGATGGTATTGCTTGGCAGGAGTCGATATTTTACTCTTCGTACTTGTATATTGTTTTAACAATTAATTCAGAACATCTTTGAATTCTTATAACATATGTAACACTATTCATTAACTAGCATTACTTACTACTAAAGGATCATCAGTAATATAATAGAACTGGCTGCTTCCATAGTATCCTATGTTCTAGTTTAGTTTTAAACAAGTACCTATTTATGTTAGGTGTTTAAGCTTGATTAGCTTTGTA